TAAAGTAACGTTGCAGCTTATTTACGTCCCACTTCTGGGCACAGACCTCCTCTCATTTCTGAGAGGGTTTTAGGGTAAGGAAATGCCCGCGCGCGCTGCCCCAATGCGTTTTGGCGAACTTCACATGTCTTTGAAATATTTTTGTATTATTTCTCAGACATGCAGGTTTCCTCACGATGTTTTCCTTCACCGCCGAGCACGTGGTAAATCAGAATTAGTGCCGGCGGGGATCGAACCCGGGTTGCTCGATTACTGAGAAGCTTTCAGCGAGCGCTAACCATCTGAGCTACCACGGCTTGCAACTATACTAATCAAATACAAACATACATACCCGTACATATTTACAAGAACATTATAGTTAATATACGATGTAAAGTATGAATGCAGCTACAATGTTAATGAATACAAAACATTGATATTAGACACTTACCTTTATCCATTTTAATATAACCTAATTACTCACAATAATAATTATTTACTCGTATATTGTATAGTATAGTATCCTCTAATACTACAGACGAAGGCGAACTAAAAGAAAAGGCATGGTATGCTAAGCACGCTCCCAACGCATCCCCTCTTCTATAAAGAATCTTTTAATCGGGTGACAAGGAACCGATATAAAGGTATATTACCGGTTCCGAGAACCTTTAAATCATCAGATATAAAGGTTCTCGGAACCGGTATTTAGAACCGGTACATCGGAACCCAAACCGGAACCGATACCGGAACTGGAACCGTAACGAAAAGAGGAACCTTTATAAGAACCTAAATGAAGAACCAGAACCGAAATTGGTACCGGTTTTCAATCCCTGGTCAAAACACATAATAACTGATGGAAACGTATCAAAATGGCAAGATGACGTATACTAAACAGATTGCAAGCATACTCAATTGAGCTTGTTACATAAACTAAATGATGAACATGTGATGCCCAATGAAGTAAGAAAATGAAAAATAAAAATAGCATTTTGTCAATCTTTAATTTATATTTATTCTTAAAATTATTAAATTATGTACCTTGTTTCATAAATAATTATCTGTAACTATGTATCTAAAACCTTGCGATACTCAGGTCCTAAATGCATTGCTCATTTCTGTTTCAACATATTGCAAACACTCATCAAAGTTTGTGTGAATTTAATGTTACAGATCTGATTCTTCATCAGTCTAGATAATTTTGCACGTGTGAATTTTAATTTAATTTGACATCAATATGAGCTCTGTAAAATGCTGCCTAATTGGTGAAACTCAACTGGCCATCTCGAATCATGTCTCCAATCATGGTGAGTAGACGATTTAAACTGATAATTCTTTATTCAATAGCCTTCCATCAATTTTCTTCATCCCCAGTGATGTGTTTCACTAACACAATTCTTTTCATATTATGCTTCAGTACACAAGATTTTGAGGATTGTGACACCATTTCTACTTCTGGAATAAGAGCTAAAGCTTCCATCAGTCCTACAACTTTTCGTAATGAGACAATTAGGAGAACTGGATATGCTTGACCTTGCTCATGACCCGACAGATACGTAAGTAAAAAGTTTTCGATGATAAAAAATGTTAATTAAAATAATAAATTAATAGCAAAACATTTTTCTTAACATGGAAAATGTTTTTGATCGATCAAGTAATCTTATCACAATGGCCATATTACTCAGATACATAATTACCTGTTTCAGATCTAGATTAGAATGACAAATAATCATGAGTGAACAATTAAATGGATAACCAGCGAAATTTCCAGCTACAATTAATGACACTAGATCTTTAATTTGAATTGATTCAATTCAACTAGTATTGGGTCAATATTTAGTAACAGATGCAAGAATTTTTATAATGCAATCTAAGTGATTTGTGAATAATCTGTGCGTAAGATATATTATTAAGAAAATAAAATGTCACAATTATCACTTAGATAGTAAATATTTGTTCATATATATACATAAATTTGAATGACTACATAGAATTGATATTTTACGTCAAGACAATGTATAATAGAGATCAATTATACTTTTTAATTTTCACTCAAATTTGAAGTTTCAATACTGTTGGAAATGATCAGAACTAATTCATTAATTGGTTTTTAATTAAAGCTCTTGAAAACACTTTTTACCATAAAAATAGCATTTTCTCAATTTTCAACATATATTGATTCTTTAAATTATAAAACTATATATACATTGATTCATAAATGAAAAAAGTAGTATTAGAAAAATTTTGTGAACTATCTCAGTCTTTGAGCCATTTTAAATGTATTAAAATTATACTAGACTCATGTATTTTACTAACGCTTGAATCAATCGTTAACGTAGTTCTCTAATTTTTAAAAAAATAATCAAACAAAATTTGTATTTCTGAAGAAGGTGCGATTGATAAAGTGACATTACAGTTTTATGATGTATTTATTTATTAACTTTTCCTTGTGTTATTGTAAAAACGTTGCTTTTAGCAAATAAATGTGAAGATACAAGTGTGTTATGAGTTTTGTAATTCATATTTTTTAATTTCGCTCATGGCGAATTTTAGCTGTGAGTCAATCACTTGTTTATGCTGCAATATAAATTTATTTGCATTCGTGGGATCTTTCAGATCGTATGTGTGCTTGAGATCTTTAAAATATGCTTCACATCGGGCTGAACTGGCTGCGTTGTCTTGGCAATGAAAAAACTTCATCATCACGTTAGAAAATACTGGGAATTGAGCAAATGTATACATGAAATTTACTATTAATTTTGGACAATAGAACGGATTTAAATCTATGACCTCTTCAGATTCCTTTCCTATTAAATTTTTAGCAATTTTCAAGTAATTTTCTAGCGTTTCTTTCATACTACTATTCTCTATTAGTTCATCTTGCTCCGTTTGAATTTCTGGGCTAAGATTTTCTATCAAATCATCCGTTACTTCTTCTTTTAGACTTTCATTTATGGTTTTAGAAATACTTTCTTTATTAAAATTCTGAAACTTTTGAATGAAGTAATTATAAAAATTTTCTGCCGGTGAATTTTCACTCATAGTTTTACTATGGCTTAGTACGAAACATCCTACTATAATTTCTTTCATCACGGCAAAGCTATCAGTTATTATAGCTAGTCCAATAATCTTAACATAGAAGTTTTTAATTTTAATTTTTTTTGACCCTTGAATGGGCTTCCATCTCGTTGCTACCTTTATTAAATGAGCTCGATCGATCCTGATAAAACAATTAAACGGAGTTGATTCAGGTATCGGAGTTGTTTCTCCTGATAGTTCATACATTTTTAAAATTTCCAAGCAAAACTGGATATAATGCTTATATGAGCATCCATTAATAGAGAGACAAGCAGCATTCAAAATAGCAAGCGATTGATCACTGACAAATTGCTTAGGCAGGTGTTTTACCGATGAGTAAAAATCTCTTAGCCAATATGCAATGGAATTGGTATCTTGTCTAGATGAGGCTTTTTGGGATAGTGGGGCGTACTTGTTATTAATCGTTCCCATTAATTGGTATAAGAAAATGTGACTACTTAACTCTCCATTTAAAGCCACGGTATTCATTTTGCTCCCTGTCGCATCCAAGTACACAATGGGATTAATTAACATTAATCTATCATTGAGCTTCACTTGTTGATCAAACCAATAATCAACTTGAAAAGGATACGATATAACAGATCTGATATAATTATTTGTTTGTTTTTTTTTTTTTGATAAAGGAGATTAGTATGTATATCTTTCGGTCCATCTAAACCGATATCTTCATCAATTCCTTGTTTTCGCATGTTCCTTGCAACTGCATCAGATGGAATGTCCGGTGGTTCTATTTGAGAAAAATCCATGAGCTTGCGAGCGAGCTGATTTTTAAAATTACTAGCAGACATGTGTTTTAATTTTTCTTTTGCCTCTTTTCTTTCATCTCCAATTACAAATCTTTTTGCATTACCATGTTTTACATTTCGAGTATCGAATGTGCAAATGTGAATTGCGATTTTTTCATCTTCATCCTTTGGCTTTTCGTTGCATACTCCGTAAAAATATGTATTGCACTTTTTATCTTTGCATCTGCCGTAAAAATCAAAGTACTTGTGACTATTATATAACGAATAAACAGTGCCTACTTTGAAACTGTACGGACAGATAAGTCTTTTATCATATTCACAGATAGCCCGAAATATCTTAGGAGTCCATTTTGAAGCAGGTAATTTTTTAGGATTGATAGGTTTTATCTTCAACCAGACATCTTTGTCTATATGTATAGTAAAATTTAACGGTTCACAGTTTAATGGATTCATATTTTTTTCTTTTCTCATATGACATATGAATTTGCCGTCTGCATCTTTTATTACTTCTAATGAATTTTCGGTATCAGAGTCGGAAAATTTATCAGAATCACTGTCATTGTATTCACTATCAGAGTTGGAAGCTGTATGTTCTGATGTATCACTATCGTCTGTTTCAGATGATTCACTTGCAGACTCAATTGCGCTTGCACTTGTTTTTAATTTTGGATTAATTTGTTTTTTTTTATCGCATACTTTTTAAGTCTCTGTTGTAAGTTGCCGTAGTTTTTGAATACTTTCATATACAAATTCTTAGGCAATATTTTATTATCCAATTTTTGACAAGCATCCGTCCATACTGGCTGTATTAATGTTAGCAAAGTTCCATCCCTCTTAAATACTGTCATACCCTTCAAAACCTTATAAATTTTAGCATAAGAAACACTAGCTTTTCGAGGCATTTTTAGGCACACTACGTAAAATTTTATACTATTTAAAAAATAAAATGAAACAAAAAAAACTGTAGATATGATGCGCAACGTATAAATAAGGTTTCGATACCGGGAACGCAATTCGGTCAAAATTACTGGCGCGCCAAAAGCTGCTCACTAACTTCTGCTAAAAGTATACCGGCCGATCGTGTCTGGGGGAATACCGGAACCTCTTGCATGCTCATACACGTTTGAACATTCGATTCGCGAACAATCGAAGTTTACTTAGTGCATATATTATATAACCATGAGTGAAATAGTGGAGAAAAAAAAATGCGGAAGAAAAGCTGCAGTTTCTATGGAGAAAATAGAAGAAGTGTTAACAAGTAATGAGATTAAAATTTTAGACGAAAATGAACAAGTGTTAAAAGAAAAAAATGACGGTTGGGAAAAGGCGTTCGATTTATTGAAGCCGTATGGTGAAACGAGTCACCACAATTTATATTTAAAATTAAGATTAAAACTTAAAACGGATAAAAAGATGTTGGAACGTTTAAAACCCTTCTGTACCGTGGCAAATCCAACGAAGAAAATTAAAATGAGTAATGAAACAGAACAAATCGAAGAAGAAAATAAACAGTCAAATGGACAGTCAAATGGAGTAATAATTAATTGTGATTGTGATTATGATGATATGGGAGCCTTGCACTCTCTCAAAGGAAATGTCGAGTTTTATGCAATGATACATGAAATATCCTTAAGTCCTTTCCATGTCATATATTTTTGGCCTGAACAAGTATCAACAATATATAAAAATGAATGTGAAGCAATACAAGTGATTTGTACAGAATTGATTGACATACAACCCTTTGAAACGCAATTCTACAAAAGTAGTGGCATTCTCCAAGTATCAATAGTTGGACTTATTGATGACTCCTGCATAACACCCCTTTACCAAGTAATAACAGAGCAGAGAAGCAATAATTTCATAAATTACATTTTATGCGAATGGTTCAAGACAGGCTTTGATCCTCCAAGTGAATTAATCGTGCCGCCTAACGTTGCTTTCATTGAGGGAGCAATAAGTGCACTGAATAGTAACTACAGCATTGAGAAATATATTGATGAAATCATTAATCATGTGAAAGTGAATAGTGATCTACCAGCTTGTCACATAAGAGCTAATTTTCTACCAGTTATAACATACATTTTAAAATATTTTGAAAATGACCATGCATTAATTGGAGAACTCTACTCAAAAGTTTTTATTCTAATGCTAATAACTACAAACATTGAGGAGCTATGGGTGATAATAAAAAAAACATTTGTTGTATCAAGTACTCCATTAAAAAATCAAGAAGTGACAAATTCAATTCAGTCTTTATTTAACATGATAAAAGATAATGCATTAGTTGACGACATTTTCAAGTTATGTGGGTGCAATACTTCTCGTTATGACTCTGAAATTGACTCAATGTTAACCAAAATCAGTTGTACAAAAATGGAAGATTTGATAAACAGTCTAGTGATATGTGAATCAGAATCAACAGTTGATGATTTTCAGTATTTACCTAATTCTTATTGTAATGAAGAATTCAGTGTGTTATTCAAAAATGTACTTACTTTCTTACCATTTTTCTTTATGCATCATAAAAGTGAATATGATGTAAGAAAACATGTGGAAAAGCTTGACCTCAAGTCAAAATATTATTCACTTTTAAAAGATGAGATTGATAGTAACGCATTAAAAATTCAGAATTTATCAATACGAGTAGACAAATTTATCATACACCACTCAAACCTCATCAAGTCACTTTCTGAAGTATGCAGAGAAAGATTAGCAGTGACATCAAAATCTAAAAACTCCAAAAATTATGCTAAAAGAACAGATGTCAAATTCAATGCTTACTCATATTTGAATTTATGTGAAAACTGGGGAGGCCATGGAGAGGAAAAGCAAATTCCAGATAAATTTCAGGATGATGCTTCATTAGGTACGTTTTAATTTTTGTTTATTATTAAAAATTGGCCAAGCAATATTTTTTCTTATGTTTAATGGGAAAGGTATCTGAAACCTGCAAAATTACAAATTTTATTACAAAATGTGCACATATTTTTGTAGGGATTAGAGAATACAATCTTTCTTATCCTTCTTTGTCTAAAATGTTTATACCTTACAACTTGCAAAATGAGGTTCCAGTTTCTATATGTATTGTAAAATCTATCTAAAGCCACTCATTCAATCATGATTACAAAAATTCAATTGATTAGAAACATTTTAACAGTCTTACATAGACTTTTTTTCATTAAAATAACAGGATAAATGCAAATATTGTTTCAAAGTGGTGTGACAAAGTGCAAATTTTGTATACCTTTCAAAATTATTGGGTCTATGTGGCCATGTTAATGTAAAACAATCCATTAAAATTTTGGTTCATTGGCCCCAAAGGGTTTACTTAGAATTTTATGACAATAAAGTAAATCTGAGCTAAAATATAACTTTGCCAAACCATCGAGCGATTGAGACTATTTTAACTAATCGCGCCACGTATATTTTGACAGTTCAATAAACAAATTTAGTCTGACCTAAGGTCAAGACCAAAGAGTATATAGTATATAGTAGTTCATAAGGCCAAAGACATTTTTTTTTTTAAATGAAGGTAAATATAACTTAGAGTCATTACTAAGTTCTTGTCCAAATATAAATATTAATATAAAAAATAATAGTAATAATACAATATTATATAATATATATAATATATAATCAAGAATCGGGAAAATAAGTGTTTGGACAAGAGAAATCTTAGTTGATAACGGCAGAAAATGTTGAAGGCATTTTAAGGAATGAAAAATATAATTGATTTTCCTGCTAATTTGTTTTATTAGTGAAAAAAAAAACACATGTTTATAACCTATAACAACAAAGTTATTTTTGCTTTGTCATTTAACAACACCCGTGTCTGCGCAATAACAGCGACATCTATTTTCAATCATCAAAACCACTTTCCACGCTCAAAGGCATCGCTAGATTTTTCGATAACTAAATAACTATTGAGTTAACAGAGATATGTATTAATTAGTACTGTGGAGTTTCCGTAGAGGGCGTTAGCTGTACGGACGCTGCAGATACAGTTACATACCAGCACTACGGTTCTATAATATAAGGCACCAAAATGTCAGAAATAGAGAAAGTTGACATAAAAAAAGACTGAATGACTTCTTGTGCAGCTAAACAGTGTTCTAATAATTCAAGAAATAAAAATAGATAAGATAGATAGAATAGAGAGCGAGATAGATAATACAAACATGCGCGAGAGACACGATACGCGATAAAATAACGCGATTTCGCTCGCACAACTACGACGTTTCCTATCTCTGTCCTTGTCTATCGTTAAATTTCATTCTGTGATAATGATATCTGATGTGTGTGAACATTCCGTTTTCTTCACACGTTCTTTATACGCGATAAAACAACGCGATTTTGCAGATGCAGGTAGTCGTGCGTCCGTATTATCTCGTTAATTTTCGCTGTGTGTAAGCGAGAAGGAGCAACCGGCGGTCGGCTGGTTAAGAAATAAGTGAATTTAGACTTAGAACCGTATTATTCATGTATTAAGGTTAATGTTTTTTAGCAGCGCGGACCGCCTAGTGATGTTTTAATTATGCATCGCGTATTACTTTATTTATGACTTTATTGCCCAAATAAAGATCTTTCCGATCAATAAAACTAATCAGGGACATTGATTAGGTATGAAAGAGAGTGAAATGTCGTATTAATTCTAAATAAGTTTTACTAAACCAACTTTTCTCGATTTTTAAATATTTTTCTGAATGCGAGACTCTAGAGAAAATACAATTTCATGTTTCAAAATTCTCTTAAATTTGTCACACATCTTTCCGAGCAATAAAACTTTACAGGTACATTGATTAGGTATCAAAGAGAATGAAAAGTCGTATAAGATCGAAATAACTTTCACCATTCAATGTTTTGTGGATTTTTGAAAATTTTTTTCAAGTGCGAGATTTTCGAATAAATTTGTATTATATCTTTCAAGTTCTTTTATCGAAAAAAGTTCCCGTTGAATTATTTCAAGGCTCGTGCTACATCCTAAGGACATAGCGAATGTTAATAATAGTGTTCTGAATTATCTAATCGTGAAAGTAATTTTTCAACGGGTCAGTAAATCAATTGAATTACGTATGTCTCGATCGACGAAAATTATTGAAAATGCACGGTTTTCAAAATTTTTTGAAATTCAGTTTTATGGAAAATTATAATTGTTTATGTTCTATTATTGTTAGTTATTAATGTTATGATGATGTAGGAGTGATGTTATAGATCAGAAACGATTTAAAACTTTTCGATTTTTCGTTCATGTCGAACGTTCGAAACTTCAGATCCATGTTTTTTTGACGATTTTATAGGTACCTTTTTCCTTAGAAGATTTATGTTCGATAAAATATGTTTTTCAATTTATTAATAGTTTTACATGTGTTTGTTGTATCGTATAATATGCCTTCTTTTTTATAGATTTGTCAGTTATAAGAATCACTGAACTGCTAGATAAATCAGATAACAAACAGAAGGAGGTGGTTGGAGAAGATGGTGCTGAAAATGACGAAGATCTCTCGATTGTCATCGAGAGATCTTATTTTAATTTAGATAAAGATGATCTAATTGAAAAAAATTATAATAAAATAATAATAATTGAAATGTTGAGTAGAAGAACAAATTTATTCCATGATCATATTGTACAGATTGATATCAATATGTGCGATCAAAAAAGTTTAACGAGAACGTATCATATAGAACAATGTTTATTATTAATTTATAATTAGCATTATTTATAGTAGCACCATCGATATTTGGAGTACATTGTGGAGGTAGAGCATTTAGATCAGACCTTTCTGTCAGTTCAACGTACTTTTCTTTTAATTCTTCTGGTTTTCCTTTGTTAGGAAACATTTGAGATACTGCCTACAAACATAAAGTAACATGAAAATCTAGTCGACTAGATATTTTAAAAGAAATTTCAAAAAAGTTATATTTACTATAAAAAAGTTGTACTGTAAGAATCTTCTTTTTCATCTTCGTCTTTTGATTCTTTGAAATTCTTTGTAGGATTTGTATCTTTTTCTTTGTCATCCTTTTCATAGGAAACTAACGCCTTTACAAGATCCACAAAAATAGAGTGATCCATAAATCCTGACTCACGCTCCCCATGTACTTTATCATCATAATTTTTTATTAATTTTTCGATAAAGGTCCCATCTTGATCAAGGATCTCATCACCCATGTATGGAATATTATGAAGGACAGTTTCATCTTTGACCATGAAATTTTGTTGTATCAGAAAGAACAAATATTTAGTTAAATGATTTTCCAAATAGACTCTATAATAAATAAAATAAATAAAAGTTGTATTGCGTGGCTTGGTACCTCTGTAAATACAAGAATGATTTAGATCCTGATTTGATATTGGAGCTGCATTGTTTTGCTCTACACTCTGAAGCAATAAGTTGTTAAGAATTTCTAATTACGCTTTCATTGTACGAGATCTCAATCGTGTAGTGAGCCTGGTATCCAACTGTCAAATTGATGAGACAGAAAACCCTGGATTGTGAGTGTAAACAATAAGTTGATTTCAAATTTGATACTTCCCACAGGCCACAGTGCGCTGCATGACGCGCGCCGCGCAATTGCAGACTCGCATGCTTGCGTAGGCTGGGGGTGCGAAAAATAATGATATCGTGAAAATCAGTTATTATGCATTTTTCTGAGAAAGTAATTATACTTCTGGAACGAGAAAATAACGCGCAAACGTTCTGTGCATGAATATTTTCACTTTGGTGCCTTAAAACCATTAAAAAATGACTATTTTATAAAATTTCTAGCAAGCGTCTTCGAAGGGTCGTAAATCTGCAGGGGTGACACGAATAATTATTTTTTTCGTTTATTCTTAATGAGCAAACGATTCTACATGTCCCTGTAAAACCTCGTCTAATTCTAATTTTTGGACTTGCTAACATTACGAAGCTGCCCATGTCTACTAGAAACACTCGACAAATACCTACCATCTTGCTACATATATATTTATCTATGCCTACCATAGATTACTGTATTGTTGTTGTTGTTTTTATTATTTGCTCGAGAGTGCAGGCAAAGGAACTAAACCATACAGCCTTGTCTTTTTTATTTTGAATATATAGAATTTTAAAGTGTAAAGGCCGTAACCAGGTCTTATTTTTCTTCTTTTCATCTCTTCAAAATCCATAAAGGCCGAAGTCAAGTCTTATTTTCTTTAATTCTTCATATTTTCAAAAACCCGTAAAGGCTAAAGCCAAGTCTTCTTTATATTATATTCTTTGTAGGTTTCAATCCGTGTAGATTTGTCAATCCAATATTTTCAAATACAGGGATATCATATTTCATATTTCTTTTACAGTATTATGAATAAAATTGCAAAGTGCTAAATATGTCTTAGTATTCCTAAGAACATCTTGCAGAGCACGCGGGACACTTTCTGAGTTTTCATAAACTTGTATAAGTTTTTCAATGAGTAGCAATCCTTCAATGGCGTACGCTGGGCAGTTAAATATTATATGTTCTGCAGTCTGATCTGCTTCTGTATCGCAGAAATCGCATGTTGCAGATGCTACTATTCTCATCCTGGAAAGATGAGCGTTCAGTCGATAGTGGCCAAATCTAAGTCTGCACATTATTGTATAAAATTTTCTGCTATCGAGAAAACCAAGGAATACTTAATTCTGAATTAATTGATGCATACCAACGACCTTTTCCTGCCTCTAAAACAGCATTCCATTGCATTTTCCATTCTTCTTTTAACTGTTTTTTTTTTAATTGAATATAAATCTGTATGTGGTATAGCAACATCGGTTATCCTTTCAATATCAGCTGTAACTATACTTTTAGCTAAATGGTCTGCTCTTTCATTTCCTTGAACCCCAATATGGTTTTCAATGTGTAAAACCAATAAATATGTGACGGAGTCCATAAAAATTTTACTTCCAAATTATTTTCTTTCAATTTCCACCACAAACTTTTGATTTCATATATGATGAAAGACGTTTTAGCATCTAAAGTTCTTGCCTTCAGTGCCTTCAAGACACTCATGCTATCAGAGATCAGTAACCATTTATTAGATACATGTGGGTGTTCTTCTATATATTTAGGAGCGATTAAGACAGCATAACATTCTGCAGTGTGTATGCTTGCTGATGCAGGAATGGAAAGGCCACGTCCAGTTTTCAGATGAGGTATGTAAAATGCACAGGCTACTTTATTTTCAACTTTTGAACCATCTGTGTAAATTTGTCGATATTCATCATATGTAGTGTAACGGTACATCTGAATGCACCCTTACAAATACTTATAATTGACTGATCTTAAATCTTAAATAATAATAGTAATATAATACTCTAATCTATAAATAAAAAGTAATAAATTATTACATATTGTTAATTTAAAATAGTTATTCTACGGAACCATAAACTAGTTAATTTAATCCGCACAGCGTGAACCATTTTGCTCACCGATCTCTAAAACAAAAGACTCGGTAGGATTCGGACACGACGACGAGTCCCCGTTCGGGCCATTCCTCTTTCATTTCTACCTGAGACCGCTTCAAGTTCGCAATGCGCGTGACCCTCCTACTAACGACCGTTGAACCTGCTTACCTACAATTAAAATCTAAATTATTCGAGGTGCAGTTGATCCCGCTGGAGTGAGTTCTTATTTATTGAAACATTGTAACTGTTCTGCTTAATTATTACCTCTTTTGCTGAGGCTGCTTAGTGCTTAGCTTTAAGAATTTTAACTTCCTACAAGGGGTGCTGGAACTGAATAGGGCACATGAAGTGCTATAGGAAGTTTCCCTAATGCTGGCCTCCGTCTGGAATTCCAGGATCTACTGCTACCTAGGATCTACTACCACCTAGCATCTACCTGCTACCTAAGAGCTACTGCTGCCGAGCCGCGAGCTAGCAGAGTGTTGGCCTACCCTCCTACCAACGGCCATCATCACTGTCGGGCTTGTGCTTCACCGGCCCCTTCTGCTAGCTGGCTGTCTACGGCCCGGGGGAAAAGCGCTTGGACTTCGCCCCTACGTCAGGCCAGTGATCCCCTTCATAGAACTTACTTGTACGTGTGTGGAAGTAAGAGTAATAAATAATTACAACAAATCTTGGCGTTTTAAGAACCCACCTATTCTGTACCCCTAACGGTACAGTAGATATAAGTTCATAAACCTCTTCTTTTCTTTTCAATTTTTTATCAATATTTATGTGTATATCACTGAATTTACTTTCATAATTCCCCTTATAACAAGGCCAAGTATGTGTGCCTTTGTGAATATTATACTCGTATTGTTCATCATATCGTATCACTTCGTGAAAGTCATGGAGTATATATGGGGCTGAGTTAGATATAGAAGACATACTATTATAGTAAAATAATACTTTTTGAAAAAGAGGATTATGTGACAAAGAATTGATATTTAATAAAAACCTAAATTTCAGATATTTAAACCTAAATAAGATAGGAGGAGTAAGACATTCAGCCTGTTAAGAAACAATAGGAGTTGTTCTCATAGAGCCGGTAATAAGTCTTAAATTCTTATTTTGTATATTATCTAATTTGTTTACTAGTTTTTTATTTGATGCAAAACAAAGGAAGTCATACTCAAAATGGCTCCTTACCAAAGACTTATATAACATTAATAATATTTCTGGATCAGCTCCCCAGTTAGTACTAGCCAAAGCTTTTAATACATTAAAGGCCTTAGAAGCTCTGTCTGTAATAGAATTCACGTATTTGGTCCAAGATAAATTATTAGTAAAAATTACACCTAAGAATTTTGCACAACTTTCTGTTGATAAAAATGTATTATTATAAATTATTCTAGTGTTAAATGGACGAATTTTATTAAATATTACAACTTTACTTTTCTCAGTACAAATATCTAAATTTAAGTATGAAAAGTAAATGTGCAATTTCTTTAAAGCCTCATTTAAAATGGTTACCAAGTTTTTGACATCTGCTCCTGAGGCGTATATAACCAAATCATCTGCATATTGTAAATTAGTAACATTTGATCCTAAAATATTGTTTAATTTAAATATATATAAAATAAAGATAAGAGGACTTAATATTCCTCCTTGACAAACACCTTTATAACTGAGCCTAGGACCAATAATTGTATTATTATTATTAACTTTAGCAAAAACTCTTCTTTCATGTAAAAAGTTAAATATCCATTTTACAATTTTTTCAGGAATGGCCAAAGACCTCAACTCTGCGGCGAGTACATGAAGATTGACGTTATTAAATGCAAAAGCTTTTACAAAAATTTACTTCGCAAATATCCGCGTTATAAAATAAAATGATGTGTCTTACCTAGTATGAAGAGCACCTCCCGCCCTCCCTCAATTGCGTGCACTATCCCCGTCACCACTAATCCCAGCACCGCTACTCCCAACACCACTACACTAGGCAAGACACACCACTGACGATAATACGACACGTGTTTCGCCTCTACACGAGGCATCCTTAGGTGATATAGACTCTACGGTGGCTAACCGCTAAGTGAGCGGCGAGCCAAAACAAGTGCCTTTTATACAAACCGATGATGCAACCGCTCTCTACCTAAGGAGCGAGCGACTGCGTCATGCGATAAAACATGCGACCAATCACCGCTGGACTTACGCAGCCGTTTGTAAAATTAAAAACAAACCGCCGCGCAACGCGGTTAAGTAAATTTTTGTAAAAGCTTTTGTATAATGGATTTCCGCAAAGTAACGCCTGATTCTATTAATTATAT